GTCTAACTTTACTTCCTCATTACACAATGTTATAAACCTTTCCTAAGCCTGTCCCCCTTTGGGGGAGGATCTTCTTTCGATTGGATAATCATCTGCTCACTCATACTGTTGCCATGACATCAAGCTCCTCCTATGCCCCTTCTCCTCAGAGTGATGAAATGGTTTAACTATCTGTATCTTTTGGGAGAGTTTTTAACTGCCCCTAGAATGTGAAACCCCACACCCGTCTTTGTTCAAAACAAGTTACCCCACATTACTCGTTGTCCAAAACAAATTAAGTCATACTACCACACCCACCTTGTCTCTATGTGACAACACATCTATAATGAAAAGGGAGTAAACACCATAAACTGATTAATTTAATTGACTTTAAACCCACCATAAGTAAATAAGTAATTTCCCATTTCCACAAGTTCTACACGGCCATCATCGAGTCCATCCTCAGCTCCTCCATCACGGTGTGGTACGCCGGGGCCACTGCCAGGGACAGACTCAGACTGTAGCGCGTTGTGCGCTCAGCTGAGAAGGTGATAGGCTGCAGCCTTCCATCCCTCCACGACCTGTACGTCTCCAGGACTGTGAGGCGAGCAGGTCGGATCACAGCTGACCCTGCTCACCCTGCACACGGTCTGTTCGAACCACTCCCCTCAGCCAGGAGGCTTCGGTCCATTCAGACCAGAACCTCCTGCCATAAGAACAGTTTCTTCCCCTCTGCTGTTGGACTCCTGAACACTCATAATGTTACCTCATAATTTCTGCTTTGGTCACATTACATCTGTATTATAATTGAATACTCCATCTGTACTGTTTTCTAAGCTTTTATATTGTTTTCTATTGTATGGGTGTACACTTGTTTTACGTTATGTTTTCATTTTTACTTTATTTATGGGTGTACACATGTTTTATGTTATGTTTTCATTTTTACTTTATTTTACGTTATTACTATTCGCACCTTTATGTCGAAGCAAATTCCTAGTTTGTGAACCTCGTTCATTGACATGGCAATAATAAACTGATTCTGAATTTCTTACACCTAAATGCAGTACACACCAAAATGAAAGTCAGTACCTCACTTATTATTCAATTTTTCATGCTCACAACATGGATGGACGGACGGACGGACGGACGGACAGACTGGGGGTGTTTTCAGTTCCCTCTTTTTGCTCAGTGACTGGGGACAATAACTAGTTACAGTATGTTTTGCACAGGTATCTATTATTTTAATCCTGTTTTATGCTAAACACTGATTTAAACTTAAACATCTTGTTAAGGTCAAAGCAGGGGTTGGACCAGATACTGACAAATAAAAGGGGGTAAAGTAAATAAAACTATTTATTTAAATAAATAAGAAACAAAGGGCTGACATGACAACAACTCACAAAAACACAGGAGGAAAAAACACAGTGAGGCACGAGGAGGATAGATATCCAACAAAGTGAAGACAATGAGCTGCTGCTGGAATGTTGATTATAAGAGATTTAAATAGAACTGAGGGAGACAGAAAAGTGACAGTAACTGGGATGATTGCTAATTAGAAACAGGTGTGAGTGATAACTGACTGAGGGTGACACAGAAACACAAGGAGCTGAACCAAAACACAAAGAAGCCCCCCCCCCCCCCCCCCCCAAAAAAAAAAAAAAAAACCTCGGAGACAACGGAACCAAAAAGGCTGTGGCAGGCAATGGGACTGCAGTAGAGGAACCTATGGAAACTGCAGTGGCGGATGAGACCACAGAGGGAGCTGCAGCAGACGACGATGAACCAGAGATTGCTGCAGCAGAAGAACCCATGGAGGCTGCAGCAGGGGACGAAGAACCACTGATGGGTGCTGCAGCAGACGATGAGACTGGTGAGACTACAGCAGGTAATGAGGATGCAGGCGGTGAAAACAACGAGGCTGCAGCAGAAGACCCTATTGGAAGCTGCAGTGGTGGGAACTGCAGAGGTAGATGATGAATGGGTGACGATGAACCAGGGATGGAAGCTGCAGCAGACGATGGGACTACAGAGGAAGGAGCTGCAACAGCTAGAGGCTTGGGGCTTACTAGAGCAGTAGCAGCTGCTGGACCAGAGGCAGGTGGAATGTCATTGTCTACCCCCATGGAGACACAGGAAGAAGGTGGGGCGACTTACGCCCCTCTGAGGCACTGGAGTGAGAGACAAGTAGGGCATCTTGTCCAACCCCCACGGAAACACAGGAAGTAGGTGGATCGTCATTCTTAACACCCATGGAGACACAGGAAGATGGAGCGTTGGCACTAACTCCAGCGGAGACACATGGAGGTGGGGCATCAAGACTAACCCCTATGGAGACACATGGAGGTGGGCTGAGTCCTCCAGAAAGGTGATCTCCTCCCTCCCTCGTACATCAAGTGTAGTGATGGGAGGATCTCGGGATCTGGGCTGGGTTGAAGCTGCCTCAGAGCTGGTTATTTTCTTATTTTAAACACATTTACATCTAAACACTGTTTAAATGAGCAGCAGCTGGACAAAAATGTTTCCACTTACATGTTAAGAACTTCTTCAAGAAACAAATATTGATCCAAAGAAGAGCCCAAAGCCATATCCTGATGCATGCTGAATAATCCAGGTAAAAAAAAAAATCTAAAAAAGTTTAATCTGGTCCTCTGGACATTCAAATAACAACAAAAAAAAAGTAAAACAACAAAAAAATATATTGAAATGTTTCGTCTTTCATCCGAAAGACTTCCTCGGTCTGAGGTGCTGTATTCAGCTCAGTCTCTTAAATAGCACCTTCTCAGAGTGGATCAACCAGTTTGCTGCTGACAACCAAAACCAGCTGCTCACATGATCAAGAAGGACCATCAGCCTAATGATGGATCATTAGCACACTGATGGCTGTTTACTATTCACAGAGGGCTGAGTGATACTAGCAATCACAGCATTGTAAGAGGGGGACAGTTGAACCCGGAGGCCTCCACCCCTGTTTAATGATGGACGGTTTCTTTTCACAAAGATGGCCTCCTTTACTCCTCTCTCAAACCATCGTTCCTCTCTGTCCAGGATGTGAACATCTTCATCCCTGAAAGAGTGACCGCTGGCCTGGAGATGAGTGTAGACCGCAGAATCCTGGCCTGATGATGTTGATCTTCTGTGTTGGGCCATCCTTTTTGCCAGTGGCTGTTTAGTTTCCCCGATGTAAGACTGATCACAGCCCTCCTGACACTGAACAGCATACACAACATTACTCTGTTTGTGCTGGGGGACTGGATCTTTGGGATGAACCAGTCTTTGCTGTAATGTATTTTTGGGTTTAAAAGCCACTGGGACGTTGTGTTTAGAAAATAAATGTCTCACTTTCTCTGATACTCCCTCAACATACGGAATGACCACTGGTCTGGGTCTGGGTTCCTCCTTTTCACCTGATGGCTGACTGGAGTCCGGTTTGGGTTTCTTCTCTACTTTCAGGAAGGCTCAGTTAGGATATCCACATTGCTCTAGAGCCTGTTTTGTGTGGGATTTCTCCTTCTGCCTGGCTTCTGAGTTAGTGGGGACACTGTCTGCTCTGTGGTACAGAGTCCTGATGACTCCTAACTTGTGTTCCAAAGGGTGATGGGAGTCAAACTGCAAATACTGGTCTGTGTGGGCGGGTTTGTGGTACACCTCAGTTTGCAAATGTCCTCTATAAGAGACTGAGACCTCACAGTCCAAGAAAGCCAACCTGCCATTTTTTACATCTTCTCGTGTGAACTTGATGTATTTATCCAGAGATGATGTGGTCAGTTGGACTTCCTGAAATTTAATTTTAACCCAGGTGTCATCCAGACACCTGGGTTAGAGTCCAAAGCCATCACTTTCTTTTATCAAACATTTGCTCTTTAGAAAATAATCCCATTCCCTTCTCCTGACCAACTTTAACACCTTATCACAGCTATTTTTATCAGCATGTTTTGCCATATTTTAGATGGAGACAAAATGCATAATAAAGTTTTTTTGCACTTTTAAGCGTGAACACAAATGCACATGAGCAGGTTGTACTCGTTACATGTGGACTTCGGGAAGCAGTTTTAGCAGTTGCTCATGCAACACATTGCCACAAAAGACTTGTGTGCTGGTTGCCGCCTGTTTAGGTGTTGAAGTCATCACTTTTTTATTGAAGCAGCAACATGTCGTTTAAATTAATGGGAACATTTTGACTTGTTCCATTTGGTTCATTTCAATTCAATTCGATTCAAAAATACTTTATTAATCCCAGAGGGAAATTATTTGTTGCTGTAACTCGTTATCCTCATTTCATTAAGAGATGTTATAGATACTGATGGCTGTAGACAGGAAGGATCTCTTGTAAAGGTCCATCCCACAGTGGATCCTAAGAAACTGGCTGCAGATGCCATCTGATCCGTCCACCCAGACTCGGCTGGCCTCTTAGTTCCCCCGGGCTGTAGGACCGTCCGAATGCCGGGCAGAACTCCTTCCAGAGCGATGACCACTCCTCCCAGCAGTCTGCTGAGCTCCTCGTCGCTGCGGACAGCCAACTGTAGGTGCCAAGGGACGATCCTGTCCTTCTGATGTCATGAGCCGTGTTTCCTGCTAGTTCCAGGATCTCAGTGGTCAGGCACTCGAGCACAGCTGGCAGGTAGACGAGAATGCATCCACAGAACATCCTTTCAACTCATTTGAGATTTGGGGCTGTAGTTGAGATATTATTTGAGCTTTGAGATGTTAATCAGCTGCTGTTGGTTGTAGAAAACCGCCTTGTTGCCATGGTTACGCCTCATAACAAATGTCCATAACTAAAAATGTTCCAGTAAAAATCCTTCCAGCTGCACAGCATCCGATACCAGAGGAAACAATCATCCAAAAAATGTGATTTACATCCAGAAAAAGAGGAATTAATGTTTCCAAAAGCAAAATCTCAGAATGAAAGTAACAGAGCTGCTCCAAAATGCAGCCACCTTGAGCGGCGCAATTCTAGAACAACACTCATTTAACCTGCACCCTCTTAGCTTAGCTCACATATTGTGTGTCTTTGTTTTCAGATTGAGGACCTGCAAATTGTCACGGCTCAGCTGTTCTGCTCTGGTCTCAGCCCTGAAGTCCAATCCCTCCCGTCTCACACAACTGGACCTGAGCAACAACAGCTTGCAGGATTCAGATGTTCGGCAGCTGTTGGATCTGGTGAAGAGTCCTGACTACAAATTGGAGTCTCTGAGGTCAGTAGATGGTTGGAGTCATTCCAAGCTGCTGTCCTCACCATTTTAAATAACTCAGTTAGGTTTCCTTTTTATTGGGTTAGGATTCTGCTAAACTGTCATTGTTCTCCACGTCCACTTAGGAAGTGGCAAATTTGTAAATCCTTCGGTGTGACTCAGTCATGATGCTGCTGTGCAGCAAATCGTTTTCCTGCTGTGATATTTTCCAGTATTTCTGAGACGCTCTGCTGTCCCCTCACCAAGCTTGTTACCAGCAGCATATTCCGACAAAGTTCTACCTCATGTATTTTATATTAGCACTGTTTTCATACATGCATGTTGTGTATGTGTTTGTATTAGAGCTGGCAAGCCCGGCCCTGCCAGACCCGAATTCAGGGTGGGCCGGGGCATGATAATGTGCTGGATGGGCGGGCCGGTCGGTGTCGGGCTTTTGATTGCGTCAGTGGATCAGCTGCGATCCAATTATATGGCAACATGGCTTGCTTAACATTCCAAATATATGGCAATGTGGTTTGCCATACAATCACCAGCCACACGTGGCCATTTCATCGCGAGCTGACTGGCCTTGAAAGAGATACAATAAAGTTCAGCTAACTTCAGATGGGACTGTACTGCCAGGAAGCGATCCATCGCCCAAATAGACGTTAATTCAGCCGCTGTACTCAGCGGACGCGCATGGCCGATCACCCAAACAGGTGAGATCCCAAAGCAGACATGTCAGAGCAGGATTTAATGCACTTTGATGGCCATAAAAGGACAAACACCCCCTCAGCTCCGATCTTCTGCCCCTTTTATTCAGCCGTGTGTGTCCGCTGACTATAAATAACTATATAAGCAGTCAAAGATTAATTACCAATGTTGTTTTTTTGCATTGTGGTTGCTGGGGCTCGCCTAGGGCTTCCCTTTGCTTCTCTCTCTGGGGTTGCGGGTGTCCCTGTTGGGGGACTCCTGGAGCTCAAGGCTTGGGGACCGCTGTGTGTCTGTGGCTCCGGTCTTCCCTGTGTTACCATTGTGTCCTGTGGGGACGGGTCTGTGGGTCCCCACATCCACTATTGAACATTTTTATGGAGAAACCTTATAGTGACAACATGCTCGTACAGGTGTTTAGATTCAGGTGTTTATCAGATACACACTCAGTTGGGTTGTGGTGGCCACTAAATATATCTTGTGTTGCCATGTACTGTATAAAATATGTTCTAATGATGTTATAAGTATCATTATATATGTTGTTTGTTGTTGTGGTTTCTCGGTTTTGTCTTGTTTTTATTTTTTGTTTTCTTTCCGCAGGTCTAGAGCAGACTTCAATGATGTTGATTTGTGTTCTCTTTATCCCTCTCTGCTCCTCTATTCCTATCTCCTTCTTTACCCTTCTGCCACTTTTCCGCTTTGTTTTCTTCTTTGTTTTTCATCCCCATGTCCATTACATCTGAAGCATGCCCAAAACAAATTCTAATAAAGTTTTATTTATATATGAAGTGGAGCATTAAGTCCAGCCATAATGCTCTGCTTGTGAAAGTAAATCTGTTGGGCATCACTTTGACACTCAGACAATAATTCTGAGTGTCACAATGCCGGACGGGGCGGGGGGGGGGATTATGTTTTTTTTTCGGGTTCAGACCTGTAATTACTGTTAATTCGTCGGGTTGGGTGACGTTCGGAAATGATGGCTATGGGCTGGGGCCGGGTCGGCTCGGATTTTTGAGTCCGAATGCAACTCTAGTTTGTATACAGGTTGCTCTGATTGGAAAGCAGATTAAATTGCATAAAGTATGAAATTCTGTTTATAAAATTTGGGCACATAATCACTAGGGCTTTGTCCTGGCAAGACTTTCTCAGAGCATATCAGGATGAAGGATGAGTTGATGAAGGAACTGAGGGTGGAATTAAGTTATAATCTCAGAATGAGGCCAGCATGAGCACATCCATCCCTAGACAATTTAGTGACTTAGGCAAGAATCTAGGTGAAGCCTCTTCAGTTTTCTAAATCTCATTAGCAATTTATATATATTCACACAAGAAACTAAAAGCTCTTCAAGATATTTCATTTTTAGAAACCAGGTTGTCCAATTAAAACAGTTAACAGCAATATAATGGATTTAAAATAAAGTATCTAAACCATTATATTTCACAACATAAACCCTGTAGATGCCACCACAGTGTGAAAAAGTTTTCAGCAGAGCCCTGCTCACTCGAAAGGTCCTCAGTCTCCTCATCACATAGAGGAGACTTTGGCCCTTGTGTACAGCATTTGTGTTACGATAACACCCAGGTCAGGTATTTGTAATCCACCCAGCTCGATGTTCAAACCCTGGATGTTCACTGGTATTGGGGTTGTGGCCTTCCTGTAGCTGAACAACATCCCCTGGTGGTGCTGATATAAAGGTGGTTAACCTTAACATGGACGGCAGCTCCCCCCGGCTTCTCTGTAGTCTTTTATCATCAAACTGACCCGTTTTTCGAACCGGACTAAAGTTAGTCCCCTTCCAACCAAATTCGGTGTTCAGTGACTCAGACAACCGGATGGGACCATCCAGAAAATTATTTCGGCCCAGGACCGGCTGCTCCCACCCCACCAGTCACGCTAAGCACACCCTGCCGGCCAGGTGACTCCTCGAGTTGGGGAGTCATCGCACGAAGGTCCGGTGTTTTTTTTTTCTCTCTCTCTAGACCCCAACGAACTTCTCATCTGGACCTTGTGGTTCTGCCTGGTTCCAACAACAATCGTTGGATGGTATTTTGCTGGCTTTTTTGCTGGTTTTCTGCTGGACTGGCTCCTCATGGCGTCTTCATTCGGTGTGGGGGAAGTGTACCTGTGTCCCTGAACAGGACCAAAACCAAACCGAGTTGGCTGTGGGGGACTTCGTCTTCAATAGAGCCGTTCACAGCCTCGGTGAGCAGCCCGTTACCTTTAAACGAAGGACTGTCCACCTCTGTGGGAATCGCTGTGTTTCGTCTGGAGAAGCCGCTCTGATGTTTAGAAGCAACGCCGGAACCAGACCGGAGCAGAACTGAGCCAGGGACAACTTCAGCCTCTTCGGTCAGTCTCGTAGTTTTCACCGGGGGTGCCTCTCGTGCTGTCGGATGCAGAGGTGACGTGCAGAGAAGCGAGGAGGAGCAGCGCTGCGTGGTGCTCGAGAGAAGTTTGGAGTTTGCATCGGAGTTGTTGCAGGCCTCCATCCATACTCACCTGGATAATAATTAATTTTATTCCGGATCACGCTGTTGCCTCCTGTTGACCTGAAATGAGCTAGGACCATGCCTTTCATTTCAGGAGGATTTTCTGGCAGCTCGCTCTGCTATTTGCTGCGAATGATCTGTTTCTGCCTGTTGGTTCTGGACCCAGCTTCTGTTTCCCATGGGAGTATCCATCCATCTTCATTGGGGGGCCAGAGCCCCCCTCAGCCCAACTCAAACTACAGTTGGGCCACCTCGTCGGGTTTGTTTGCCCATTTGATTTGTGACGCTTTATGGTCTGAGACTTTTCTTCACCATTCATATTATTGTCATTATTTTCAGATCTCAGATTATCTGGAGTCACTGATTCTTGTTAATACACCTGGATCTGCCCATCACTGCAACTTTCACTGTTTTTGGGTTCTGAATGATCGCGTCTTCATTAATGTTTCTCATGGTTCGATTATAGGGGCTAATTGTCACACTGTTAACTCCTGTAATTACACATCAGTCACGAAAAACTCAAGAAAATGTCTGATAATAATGTTGTTACTGCTGTCAGGGATTCAGCCCAATCCTGGACCCTCCACTAATAACAGCACACCAAATGACTTTAAAAACATGTCAGGACTTCATTTTTCTGCATGTAAACACTCGTAGTCTTCAGAGAAAACTTGATGCCTTGAAAATTCTGGTCAGTTCTTCTGGGGCAAATGTAATCTTCATCTCTGAAACCTGGCTCAACAAATCTGTACTCAATAATGACCTGGTAATCAATGGATTTAACATCTATCGCTGTGATCATCAAAAAAAAGGGGGTGGGGGAGGCTGAATGGTGTTGGAAGCACTGGAAAATTCTGAAAACAAAGTCCTCAAAGTGCTTCCTGGCTAATCCAGGTGGGAGAGGGATCTGTGCAAGAGCTATATGATTGCATCATCCACTCCAGTGCCCGGACAATATGCAAACTGCAGGGGATCCAGTTCGGAGCTTATCTAAGTCAAATGGCCTGAAGTGGTTAGGCCAGCGCCATAGAGAGAGAGAGAGTTGTGACACTCTTTGAACTCCCTGATACGCGGTCACGTGATTCATGCAGCTCTCAATAGTTCCAAATAGTTCATCGCTGTCAGTCAGTTTGAGCAGCTACTGGCGCAACATAATCCAAAAATCGACTTTTCTTACTTTACCTGGCATCTTTCTGTAATTACTGAGCAGTAACGAACTGATTACTTATCTGATTAATGATTATTTCACTGACTATACATTTTATCAAAGCATTTTTAGACACGACTGATACATATATCAGCAAATTTTAAAGGGAAATGAGACTGCAAACACATATTTGTTAGAAAAAAAGTCTATGCAATACAATGATCAATATAGCCATGCCAACAGTGTTTTATAACGTTACACACCTGTAAAAAAACAAAACAGAGTAACATCTGTTATAAAGCTATTTCTGATGTTCTCTGCATGAGAATGCTCCACCTTGTCCTCCATGCCTGCAGTTCAGATCTGCTCCAGCTTACCTTAGATCATCTGGATAAATTCTTGATTTCTATAGAAGACATTAATTCAACCTTTATTTAAACAGGTGAGTCCCATTGAGCCACGAGAACTCATTTACAAGAGACCTGAATATAATTGTTCTATTTGTCTTTTTTTTTTTATGGCAACCAAGTACCTGGATAGCTGAGTAGATTGTGCTTGTAGCCTGACAACTACTGTAAAATTGTAATTCATTGATTAAAATGCTAATTTAAGTAAAACTGTTTCTAGTTAAAATCATAACAGATGACAAAATAAGTGTTAACTGTGCAAAAATAAATTACCAAACAATTTATTATAAAATATATAAAACGTAAAACAAGCTTTAATAAAGTACTTTTACTACTATTTATACTGTTTATTAATTACATCATCTCAAGTCAGCAGGTGCAACCTCACCATCATCATACCATACCATACCACTTTATTTATAAAGCACTTAAAACAGCGACAAGGCCAACCAAAGTGCTGTACAGACAGAACAACAGGTAACACACAAAGCAATATACAAAATGAGGTAAATCAGAATATAGACATAAAAACGATGCAGATAATGACGACAAACCAGTGTGGAGCATACAGGTTCAAAACACAGATCAGCTGGTGTTGAAAGCCACCGAGAATTAATCATCATCACAACAACACAAAACTGAGTGCTGGAAGTTTAATCTGAACAAACATTTTCGATCAGGGGACCCAGGACACGCTGGAGGGACTATGTTTCTCGGCTGGCCTGGGAACGCCTTGGGATTCCCCCGGAGGAGCTGGACCAAGTGGCTGGGGAGGGGGAAGTCTGGGCCTCCCTACTTAAGCTGCTACTACCCCCCCGACCCGACTCCGGATAAGCGGAAGAGAATGGATGGATGGTTCAAAATGTTTAAGTGTCAAATAAATGTGCAATGAAATAAACTAAGGTCACTACAGGCACATTTAGAGAGAGGACAGTTTACAAAGACACAGTCAGGCCGTGTGAGACTGAAGGAGGTTCAACCTTTTATGTTCATCACCCAGAACCAAATGAGAAGAACAGCAGAACTTCCACTGAATCTGACCAGTGATCACACATTTTGTTCTAAATTAAACTTTGGTACGAACGGTGTTAAATAATATTGTTATTGAACAATAATCTTTATGCTAACAGTGCCGTTGTAATTTCAGAGACTGAGGAAGGAAGAAACAGAAATGAGGCGAGTGAGATGAGGGAAAGATGAAAATGTATCCTCAGAGGACGGGGACAAGCCAGGAACTGATGAGCCAGGATCAACAGGGCCAGGAGGATGGATCAACAGGCAGTCAGGGAACAGAGATGAAAAACCAGAGGGAACAATTAGAAATCAAAAAAATACATAAGCAGGATAGAAGAACTTCACAGACAAGAACATTAACGCAGTCCTGCGAAGATAAATGTTAACAATGGAAAATAAATACTGACATATTTTTTTACAAAAGATCAGATGAAGACAACTGGCATGAAGAATAACTTCCCAGCTCCATCTCAATGTACCTGTGATAGTTTAATAAGTTGTTTTGTTACTGTCCTACAGTTTATTGATGCTGATATATTCTTGTAATAATTCTTATTTCTTGTTCTGTCTTGAAAGAGAGTGTCATCTCAACTTGACCCATGGTTACCATACACTAAACTAATAATATACAGTATATAAAAAAGTTAAATTAACAGTCCTGCAATAAATACCAACTTCGTGAAGGTTATGGGGTTAAACAAATTTTATTCAAACATCTTGATTAATCCATTATTGTTTGGGGACGACAGAACATTAGATATTGTACCTTTGTGATACTTTGAATGCAACATTCAGTTCACTGAAGTCATTCTCCTGTGGTTTACCTGGAAAACATAAAAAATTGACTCATCTCTACAATCACGTTTTTCTTTAAATGGTATGGTATGGTATAAAGTTTATTCATTTTAAAAAAGTACAAAACATTTCCATAACAATATAAAAAAGATACAAAAGATTTAAAATGAAAGGCAGCAGAAAGAAGAAAAAATCTTATTATATCTGCCCCTTTTTTCAAACAATTATTTCAATCATAATAATTTTCAAGTAACAGAACAAAATGAAGAACTCTTTATTTTTTCTAATTCTAATACAAAAAACACTACAAACACACTAAGCTACTTCATATATACTTTTTTAATAATTCAGCTTTGATCTTTATCTTAAATGTACACATTGACTTGACATTTTTCACATCACTCTCTAGACCATTCCACAATCCAACTCCTTGGATTGAGGTAGACCTTCCCTTCAGACTAGTTCTGAATTTTGGTTTGACAAATATCTCTATCCCCTTAAGATTATAATAACTTTGTCTTTTAACAAAATCTCTTTGGATATTTAATGGTAATGTGTTATTTTGAGCCCTATACATAACTGATAAAATACTGTAATCTACTAAATCATGGAACTTCAATCACTTCAGTTGATAAAATAATGTGCTTGATGGGTGACTGTAATGCTTTCTGGTGATAATTCTTACAGCTCTTTTCTGTAAAATAAAAATAGGTTTTGTAAATATTTTACACTCTTTCCCCCAAACATCAATGCAATAGATTAAATGTGGAACAATAATTGTGTTATACAATATGTACAGAGCTTTATCATTTAATAATTCCCTGACTTTGTATAGTACTGCAATAGATTTAGCTATTTTTGTTCTTACATAATTTATGTGATTTTTCCATGTTAGCTGTTCATCAATGATTACACCCAAAAATTTCATCTCATTAACTCTACAAATCTCAACACCCTCAATTTTAAATGGATCATCAACAGTTCTCTTTTTGTTTCTAAATATCATGTATTTAGTTTTATCTAAATTTAATGATAATTTATTAATTTTAAACCAAGTTTGTATTTTATCAAATTCTGTCTTCATCAATTCCAACATCCGTTTTACATCTTTACCTAAACAACAAAATGTGGTGTCATCTGCAAAAAGGACACATTTGAGGAGTCCTGATACATTCACTAAGTCATTCACATATAAAATATAAATAACTTTGGTCCAAGTACAGAGCCTTGAGGAACTCCACAAGTGATATTGCACAGGTCAGATCTTATACCATTTATTTGTACAAACTGTTTCCTATCTTTTAAATAGCTAGATACCCAGTGTAATGCTGGTCCTCTTATACCATATTTATTTAATTTTTCAAGGAGAATAGTGTGGTCAATAGTATTGAATGCTTTTTTTAAATCAACAAAAATACTAACACAATACTG